TTATATATGATGAAGCTTGAAACATCTTTTAAATGGTGGACTTCAAAATCAGCTTAGTCACTCAAACCAAATACTGACACATCAGCACATCAAAACTAGGTGGGTGCTACAGCATTTTATGATATTTGCCCTGTGGATTTCTCAGGAAAGTTGTTACGTAAGTGTGTGTTTTGTTGTTTTATTATAAGGCTGTTGTGTTGTGAAACATGCAAAATCCTGAGTAAATAGTACGGCTATTACTGAAGGTGACGTTTAAAACTTGAAAGTACAAGATGACACAATGAGAATTTATATTTATCCCAACTGATGCTGTCATAATTCAGAATGTATTTACCACTGTCACTATATATGATCATAAAGAAAATAATAATAACAGTATGAGTGATACATTACAACACATCACAATTTTTAAGATATTTCATCCAAATAACTGTGATCAAAATATACACAGCCCTGCCTGGTGTAAAGAACCTGTGATGTTTTCTGTACCTCAAGAGCAGCAATTCCCAGAGCTACACCTGCAGCGATCACAGCGTTCTCCTCCATCAGCTGCAGCAGCTTGTTAAAGCAGCCATCAACCATCTGGAAGAGAAACAGCTGGTTTTAGCAGAGGTCGGGGCGAACTGTTGCACTTCACCAAAACTAACGGCTCTTTTGTTAACACATGAAAAGTAATTTGGTCTCGTACCAAATCATTTGCTTTTTCTTTATTGCATGTATGTATGGTTGAATTGCAGCAGGCGGTTGGATAATGATTTCCTCCATATTGGGTGTTAAAAGGGGAGCCATCAAAATCTGTGTAGTTCTTGAATCCGCAGCACTTAAACTAGAAGCAAACCACATAGTGTTAGTCCCAAATCTTAACAGACCCCATTCAAATAGCTTTGATGGTAGTATCTGATAGTATATGATAGTATCTATACAGAGGTGTGTACTGCTCAACTGTGAAAACAAACAAAAAGTCAATTTAGGTGATGAACACAATAACAATGAAACATAGTGACGGAATGTTCCAGCAATAAAATTGCTAGTATAAGTTTAGGTGTACAATCAAAGAAGCAGTACTTTTGTCAAAAAATGTATGTTTAGAGATGCATACTCTGTCTGAAGTATGAATAATTCACTATAAAGATAAATTCAAAATACAGTACCTCAGTCATGGTGCTATTCCACAGAGACGTCACACCCTCGTCAGATCCGTAATCTTTTCTAATGCTTTTTCTAACTTCATCCTCCACACTCTGAAGAAGCTGATCAGCCTGAGAGAGACAAATAAACAGCAGCACATCATCATATGTCTGAACACAGAAAATCACTCAGGTGATTTTCAAGTTTCTGAATGTGACTGCTGGCAGCTGATGCCAGAAGGTCCCGTTTTGCTGTTGAGAGCCACTTACCAAACCCTGGAAGACGAACAGCACCACAGCTCCGGCAACCTCGGCGAGGAAGATGATGAGCACAATAGTGAAGAACTGAGGATGGAGAAAATGGTACTGTAAAATTGTCACATTTGACTGGTAGCAGCGTTACATATCCACACAATCAACTCTCAACGTCAGACTGAGAAACAGGTTTAGACATAGGGCAATAAAGCCTCTTAACGCTACAGGGACCAGGCCTAAAGCTAATGTACATACTAAGATTTTCAAGTGAAATAACCCTTAAAAATTTACAGCCACCAGAATCTATCCAGTTTCTATCCAAATTGGCTCAGATATAGTTCTCTCTGCTCTCCAGTTCTAAACTAGTTGTTTTGTCATTTCACTGATTTTAATGTGGAACCTGGTTTGTAGGTAAATGCAAGAAAAAACTACAGTACATTCCACTACAATGCAATATTATGGCATTATATCAAACATCCATCCATCCATTCGTTATTTATACTGCTTATTCATAAATAGGGTAATGTGGGTGGGGGTGGGGAGGCTGGAGCCTATCCCAGCTGACATTAGGCAACATCCTGGACATGTCAGTCTATCACAGGGCTATGTCAAACATTCAGAACACCAAATATGTTACTATTTTAAGCAAATTATTATTATTATTATGTCCTTCTTTTAAACTTTATCAATTCAGCAGCTTGAACCTAACAACTGTTGCTCACCATCAGCAGCATACACCTGTTTTCTCTGATGGCTCCGCAGCAGCCCAGGAAGCCAATGATCAGCAGCACACCCCCCACTGCCATGAGGAGGTAGCTGACACTGACAAGCTGGGATAACACAGATGGGGCATTCTCCACCTTCTCAAGTAAACCCAGTAGAGAACCACTGTCCACCTTCAGCCACACTCCCACCCCCAGGACGGCTGCACCTGTACACTGCATAATGGGTGAGGGAGAGAAGGAATAAAACCAAACAGAGAGAACACAAATTCATGGCATTAAAATGTGAAGAAACAATCAGGAAATATTACTGTTAGGGTTCTGAACTTACATCCAGTTATGTACTTTTATTTTGGTTATGTTTCCTGTTTGCGCCATCTCACCTGCCCCAGCTTCACTCCAGCTCCAGGTTGTCAGGCATTGTTTTCACCTGTTGCTCATTATCTCCCAGTTCCCTAGCCCTTATATTCTGCTCATTTCCCTCAGTCAGGTGCTGGTTCATTCTGCTCACCACACCTTGCTTGTTTGTGTTGCGCCTATGTGTTATGTAAGATGCTTTCTGTTTGGTTTCTAGTCCCTGCAAACTTTGGACTGTTAGAGTTTGGACTATGAGTGGTGACAGGTGTGATCAAGTCATTCTTCTTTTACAATCAGGTGATAGCTAAGAAATTGCTGAATATAATCCATAAGCTGTACTATGAGAGACTTATAAATACTTTTTTTTTCTCCACCAAATAGACTACTTGTTCTGTGAATAGCTGCCAGCAGATGATAATTATCTTAGCATAAAGACTGGAAACAGGAGGAAATGGAGACATGTCAGCTCACAAAGCTCACACTGTTGGCTTATATATAATTACATATACTACAATATGTTTTAATTTATACACAACCCAAGTGTTAAAATGCTGTGGTGTTGCAGTAGGTTATGTACCAGACTACAGTATGTATTGGTAAGTTGCAGTGACTTCCTTGAGTCTCGTCAGTTGCCAGGCAACAAGAAGAGACTCCATTAGTGAAGGGTTTGTTAGCCATAGAGGTCCTGAATTTTGTTTGCTTTTACCCTAGTTTTATACTAAGCTAATTGTCTGCTCGCTGTAGATTAAAGCATACACACACGAGCATCATGATATAAATCTTGGCAAACCATTCCTTTCAGGAGGAGTTTTTTTATTCTGAAGCTTAACTTGAACTTGTAAAGCAGAGTTTCATACAAAGCCAAAGGAAATGTTTGCACTATTACTATTTGTAATATACCATCTGGTACAACAGTTAATTTTCATGGGGACCATCTCTACATGCTTTCAGACTGGACAGTAGAAGCAGAAAATTTGTAGCTTTCTTCTTTCCAACTTACAAAGATGATACCATTGAAGACGAACATCGTCATTTTGAGAAAGCTGGTGCTACACATCTTGGATGCTGCTTTTTTCCCACACTTAAAAAAAGGACAGAAAAGTGTGTTAGTTCAGCTGAAAACGAACTGTGCAACTGGTAACATCTATTTTAATGTCTCAGTGGCTGGTGGTGGACAAATTTGCATTTTACCTCAGAGTCTGATAACGGCTATAATGAGAAGAAAATATGGTGATGAAAGTGTACACTGTCTGAATGAATGGACAAATGAGTTTGAGTTTCCATATGTACACAAACAATTGAAAACTTAGATAAGAAACTAAAAATAAAATGACTTTGAAAAAGAACTCAAAAGGTTTGGAGATGACTGCAAAGCATTAATGTCTAAATTAAAAAAAAAAAAAACAGAAAATAGAGAAAGAAGGAAATGGCATGTTCACGGGGGAAATGATGAAGAAACTTTTAAGAAAACTGAATGTAATAGTATTGAGAGAACACCACACTCGCCTCCCTAAGACACTGGGCTCAACATAAATCTGTGCTCTCCCTGCTGTTGCTCTCCCTCTATACCAGTGACTGCACCTCAGGAGACCCTTCTGTAAAAATCCTGAAGTTCGCAGACAACACGGTCGTCAGCCTCATCCAAGATGGTGATGAATTGGCTTACAGATGGGAGGTTGAACATCTGGCCCTGTGGTGTGGTTGTAACAACCTGGAGCTAAACACATTGAAAACAGTGGAAATGATAGTGGATTTTGGAGGAGCTCCCCCACCCTATCTCCACTCACTGTACTCAGCAGCACTGTTTCAGTCATGGAGTCCTATAAGTTCCTGGGCTCCACAATCTCTTGGGACTTGGAATGGACAACCAACATCAGCGCAATCATTAAAAAGCCACAGCAGAGGATGTACTTCCTGCGTCAGCTCAGGAAGATCAGCCTGCCCCCGGAGCTGTTGATTCAGTTCTACAGAGGAATCACCGAGTCTGTTCTCTGCTCTTCCATCACTGTCTGGTTTGGCTCAGCAAGCAAACAGGACAGGAACAGACTGCGGTGAACAGTCAGGACTACAGTAAAAATCACCTGTGCCAGCCTGCCCTCCATGAAGGACTTGTACACCTCATGGGTCAAAAGGAGGGCAGAGAAGATTTCTGCAGACTCCTCACACCCTGCACACAAACTGAACTCCTCCCCTCTGGAAGGTCACTGTACACCAAAACAACCAGACACAAGGACAGCTTCTTCCCCTGGGCCATTGCATTCATGAACAGTTAGTCTATGTTTTGCTCTTTTAACTTGTATATATTCAGTTTTTATTGTTGTGCACATCAGGGACCATTGGGCTGGAGTCAAACTCCTTGTTTTTTTTGATAATACTTGGCAATAAAGTTTATGTTTATGCTGATGTACATGTATGTTCCTGTTTTGGGCTGAGCTACAGAAGACATGTCTGTTAAAATTCATAAAGATCTATCTAAAGACTAATTGATTTAAACTCTTACTCATAGGTACAGTGGTTTTTCCACACCACCACGAAACTGAGTCACATAAGCGTCGTCCTCATAAGGCTGCAGAAGTTAGTACAGAGGGGAAAATTCTCTTCCTCTTAGCTTTTATACCTTAATTTGTAGAAATGTGTTTCCAGTTTTATAGTACTGTGGTACTCTTCAAGTTTACCTTAAAGACTACAGAGAATAAGTCTCTTTCCTGGTAATCATGTTTACAAGTTTGATGTGAATTTTAAATAAAAGGTTTAAAAAGTGCCATGCAACCAAGTCATGGATATGGCGTCACAATCTAGCTCCAGTAACTCAGTGACCTCTAACAATAAATGGTAAACGCGATTTACCTTATCAACTGACTGGCAGTCACACTAAAAGGTGCACAGAACCATAAAGCATACACACACACACACACACACAACCTTGCCCAACTCTATTTCCATCTGATATATGTACCAGAGAAATGAGCTCAGTGTTGCTGTCATTGATCCTTTCCCTTCCTTATTGCAGCTTTGACAGTAATAGCCACTAGAAAACTACTTGGTAACTGTTACCTTGTTTCCAACAAGCAATAAAAATGATCCTGTACCACCAGCAAAAATCATGCTGTTTATTCAAATTCATCTTATGATCGAAGTCATGAGGCAGCAAAACAAGGTAATTAAGAGCTCCAGCAGAAATGTGACTGCTCAAGG